GTGCTGCGCCGTGCTGCGCCGTGCTGCGCCGTGCTGCGCAGCGCATCGTAGGACGTTTAATTGCACGAGACACGAGGTCGCGGGGAGGGTGGCGGGCTGGAGGGCTGCATAACGTGACGTTCATCTTTCATCGCGGCCTTAGAGAAGGTTGTTTTGTGGGGTTGTGATTAATGAAAGCGGACTAACGGTTCCCGATCAGAGCGGGAGCGATCGCCCTTCCCCTCTCCTCCGTGGGATTGGGGGCGTAATTCGGAAACGTTTTCTCGCTCCGGCGAACGTCGTCGCGTCGACGGCGCGATGAGCGGGGAGCGCGCGGCGGGCGGCGTTCGTCCTCACGGCTCATCAGTCAACACAATGTCTCATCTCTGCGCTCAGCGGCGGCGCCTCCGGCCGCAGGCGGCTGCAGCTGCGGCGGGGCCGTCGGCAGCTGTCTCCCTCCAGCCTGCTAAGCGGCGCTTAATACCTGCGGCAGCAGCCAGAAGTGTAGTAAGGTCGCGGAGCAGCCTCGCTGCCGCTGACTGCTTTCAGGTCTTGGCACAGGCTGCTCCGGGCCCGGAGTGGGAGCGCCCTGGAACCTCGTCAGCTGGAGGGACAGCAGCCGCAGAGTGCCCGCTGCTGGGGACCCCCGGTAAAGATCCGTGTCTTCTAGTTGTTTTCCTGGTGCGCGCGGGACGCTGTCAATTTGAACGGTTTCGTTCGGGCCGTGCATAGTTGTTCTGAGCCGCTATGGAGTCGTGCCGGCGGCTGGAGTTGAACAAGAGGTTGTGTCCCCTCGCTATTGCCGGGGCGGGGCGGGCTTGGAATACTACTCTATCCCCAGCCCTCCGCCGCGCCACGCCCCGCGCGCCGCGCGCTTATACCGTTCGTCGACAACAACTGTGCAAATGACGATTCCCTCTCCTCTCGCGGTGAAATCGCTCGCGACGCACAACACTGTCACGGAAAGTTACCAACACACTCATCAGAATGCGCGCATCAATCTCATCAAGCCCCTCCACCGTGAGCCCCTCGCTGCAGGCAGAGGCGCGGCCGGGGCGAGGGCGGGGTGGGC